AATAAAAAGGAGCCCTTAATAATCCATCCTAGCTGAGCAGCCAGCCAATAACACCTAAATAAATTATATAGAGGTTATCGGCTGGCTGCTCTGCTGAGACAGATCATTAAGGGCTCCAAAATTCTCCATTCACAGACTGACCCCCACCCCCCATGGCTCCAAGTGAGGGGGTAAAAAAAATAGGAAAGAAGGGACACCCCTCCCCTATTCCTATCCCTGGGTGTTGCTTCTTTAATTCCCCAACCTTATTTCGGGGTTATTATTGGCTGCCAGCTCTGCTGTACATAAGGGTTCCTCGTTATATACAGCCTGAGCCTCTGATTGGCTGTTTGCAGCCTTTTATTAACCGCTTTCCATCGCTTCCCTTTTACATTACAGGCCTCCCCCCCCCCCTTTATATCGCTGCCTTTTTCACATCACAGTCTCCCCTTTACGCCACAGCACCCTCTTTTTACATTGCAGAACCCCCCACTTTCCATCATAGTGCCCCACTTTATATCAAAGCACCCCCACTTTACAATAGTCCCCTTTTACAGTACATCACCCCCTTCACATCATAGCACCACTTTGTATTACAGTGCCCTTTACAACACAGCGCTCTCTTTACATCACCGCACTCTCCTTTACAATATAGCCCCCCCTTTACATTACAGCACCCTTTTATAATACATCCCATTCTTTACAGTACGGCCCCCCTTTAAAATACAGTCCTCCTCCATACATGGCAGTGCCCCCGTTATAACACAGCCCCCCTCCTTACATCACAGGCCTCCCTCTTTACATCAGTCCCCTTCACAGCCACCCCCTCTTTCCTTGCATGTAAGTCCTCTTCACAGCCTCTCTTTCTTGTATACTAGTCCATAGTGCCACCCCCCTTTCATTGCATCCAAGTCCCCTTCACAGCCCCCCCATACCCCAGTCCTGCTCACAGCCCCTCTTTCTTGTATACTAGTCCCCTTCACAGTGCCACCCCCCTTTCTTTGCATCCAAGTCCCCTTCACAGCCCCCCGTACCCCAGTCCTGTCTGCTCACAGCCCCCCTTTCATTGCATCCAACTCCCTTTCACAGCCCCCCCATACCCCAGCCCCCTTCATAGCCCCCCTTTCTTGTATCCAAGTCCCCTTCACAGCCATTCCCCATCCCTGCACCCCAGTCCCCCTCACAGCCCCCCTTTCCTTGTTTCCAAGTCCCCTTTACAGCCACCCCCCATCCCTGCACCCCAGTCCCCCTCACAGCCCCCATTTCTTGTATCCAAGTCCCCTTCACAGCCTCCCCCCATCCCTGCACCCCAGTCCCCCTCACAACCCTCATTTCTTGTATCCAAGTCCCCTTCACAGCCCTCCCCCCTTTTTCATGTATACCTATGCCCTTCACAGCCCCCCCCCCCCCCCCCCTTTCTTGTATACCAGTCACTTCACAAACTCCTTTTCTTGTTTCCAAGTTCCTTTCAAAGCCCCCCCCTTCTTTACATCGCCCAGTCTGCTTTACAAGAAAGCCCGCTAACTTACATCCCATTTCCCCCTTCCAATCACAGTCTCTCTATAACCCTTCTAATCCTACCTTGCACAGCGGTCGGTGGGCGGGTGGCATGGCTTGTCTGGATGGGGGGCGGGCCTTCCCAGCTTTTTCTGTTGGCGGGCAGGTGTTTGCTGGGACTACCCCATGTCCTGGCAGAAAGTCTGCGGCTCGTGAGTTTGGGTGGTCCCACCCTCTGGGCATGCCGCACCTTGTGCCTGCAAGGGATGAAGTGGAGCCGCGGCCTGGATAGGACTGCCATTTGGTCCGGGTTCAGACCGTGGTCCGCCGCTTAGTGATGCCTGCTCTATAATATATGTGTATTCAGATGTTACCAGCTTGTTAGCGATCATCAGTGCATGGTATGGAGTAGGGTTGGGAACAGGGGTGTATTTAGGTTTCGTGCTGCCCTAGGCAACACAAAAATCGACTCCCTCCCCCCCTCGGAGAGATCCTGACACCGACCAACAAACCCCTCCCCCATGAAGAGTGCCTGACATTGACCAACAACACCCCAGCCCAGGGGCGGACTGACCATTTGGAAACTTGGGCACTGCCCGAGGGCCAGGGGTCAGTAGGGGCCCCATGAGATGCCCCTGGTACCTTTTTCATAGGCTTTTTTGAGTTTGGGCAAGGACACAGGGGCCCCATGATCCCCTATTGCCCAGGGGCCCCATGAGTTGTCAGTCCGCCCCTGCCCCTCACCACCACCCAGGAGAGCCTTCCATTACCACCGCCCTCCATACACTGACAACTCCCCCCCACCCCGGCCAAAGAGAAGATATTCACCTTCACAGCTCCGGATATCCCCGGGAACAAGAGTCAGGCTCTGCATACACCATCAAGCAACCCGCAGCCTCTCTCTCAGATCCCACCTGGTCCCCATGCTGTGCGTGTCTCTTCTTCCATCCCTTCTTTAGGGGGTTGGCCCTGCCCCCCCTGAAAAATGCCGCTGCCCCCCCTGAAAGATGCCGCCCTAGGCAAATGCCTTGTGGTAAATACGCCCCTGGTTGGGCAGCTGAATTGTAATTGCCCAGAGGGTCCTCATACAAGAATCAACACAACATGACCTCATTTCATATGTGTGACCGGCGCCGAACATTTGCTGCGACGGCTCAAGGATTGCGCGAGGGCGCCACTTTATCCAGCCCAACACAAACTCTGCAAAGCTTCCTCGGCCGCCGAGCGAGAATTAAACAGCAGAGATCACCTTGCACAAATCAATACCGCTACATGGCAGAGGAGAACAAATAGCCTAATAGTCTCCAGTAAAAAGGCTTCTTCGGATATAAGTCATTCTCTGCGCCAGCCGGCTCAGACATTTGTATGGGGATGACACGGCGATGAAGGGCTCCGCCAATTTTTCTGCACTAATACACTACTCAACAGCCTTAAAGGAAGAGGGAGGAGGAGGATGAGAGGGGCATAATCATTGTCCGCCACCGCCGCCACAGTAAATCACCAATGCGGATCATGACATGACTCGAGTGTTCCGCGCGTTTAACGGAACCTTCTGTATGCAGAGGATGAGGAAGGCAGCGACGGATTCGATACTTCAAACTCTTCATCACAAGCACATACTGTGGGCGAAAGTTTCCATCACGGGAAATGTGCTTGTGATAGAACTTTAATGTTCATGACATGTTACAGTGTAAGTTCACCCTTAGCAAGATTTTCCCCAAATCCCCCAATTCATTTCTATATCCAATGAACAGTGTTCTGATTCAAATGCTGCTTTATGTATTTATATCAGTTAATCCACTTGCCAACCGCGCTATAGCTGAATGACGGCTACAGTTCTGGGAGGGCATCATATGACGTCATCCCAGAATGCGCGCTCTTGGCAATCTCCGTGATCGCCGTGTCCTACGGACACAGCTGATCACATGATGTGGTAAAAGGCCAGTCACAGCAGCCTTTTACCACGTGATCAGCTGTGTCCAATGACACAGCAGATCACCGGGTGACTACAGTTGCTGGTTATCGGCTGCACTTTCCTCACGCTGTCAAAGTGTGAGGAAAGTACTGCCGAGAACTGGCAATTGCCAGCAAACAGATCAGCACTGATCATCAGGGGACTGATGATCAGTGCCCTGATGATCAGTGCCCAGCAGTGCCACCCAGCAGTGCCGCCCACCTGTGCCCAGCAGTGCCACCCACCTGTGCCCAGCAGTGCTGCCCACATGTGCCCATCCGTGCCACCCACCTGTGCCCATCAGTGCCCAGTAGTGACACCCACCTGTGCCCATCAGTGCTGCCCACATGTGTCCATCCGTGCCACCCACCTGTGCCCATCAGTGCCCAGTAGTGCCACCCACCTGTGCCCATCAGTGCTGCCCACATGTGCCCATCCGTGCCACCCACCTGTGCCCATCAGTGCCCAGTAGTGACACCCACCTGTGCCCATCAGTGCTGCCCACATGTGCCCATCCGTGCCACCCACCTGTGCCACCAGTGCTGCCCACATGTGCCCATACGTGCCACCCACTTGTGCCCATCAGTGCCAACCACCTGTGCCCATCAATGCCCAGTAGTGCCACCCACCTGTGCCCAGCAGTTCCACCCACCTGTACCACCCAGAAGTGCTTCTCAGCAGTGCCACCAGTCAGTGCCCATCAGTGCTGCCTTTCAGTGCAGCCTCATCAACGCACATCAGTGAAGGAGAAAAATTACAACAAAGAAAAACTTTTTTTTTTCGCTCTTTGTTTATAGCGCAAAAAATAAAACACCCAGTGGCGATTAAATACCACCAAAAGAAAGCTCTATTTGTGTGAAAACAATGATAAAAATTTCATATGGGTACAGTGTTGCATGACTGCGCAATTTTCATTCAAAGTGTGACACAGCGCTGAAAGCTGGAAATTGGCCTGGGCAGGAAGGGGGTATAAGTGCCCTGTAGGCAAGTGGTTAATTGGCACAAGCGCCCAAAGTCAATAGCGTGCAGCTAAAATCCAAACCCCCCCCCCCCCCGGGGCATAACAGTCTTCTACTCAGAGCACACCATCCTTCTCAGATCTTCAGAGATTCTCACCAGATTCTTCTATAGATGGAGTACATATATTTTATATTTTTTACTTATTTAACCCCTTGCCTACCAGCCACTTATAACCCCTTCCTACCCAGGCCAATTTTTAGCTTTCAGTGCTGTCACATTTTGAATGACAATTGAGCAGTCATGCAGCACTGTACCCGCATGAAATTTGTATCTTTTTTTCACACACATAGAGCATTCTTTTAGTGGTATTTAATCTCTTCTGGGTGTTTTATTTTTTGCACTATAAACAAAAAAAGAGCAAAAAAAAAAAAAAAAGTTTTTCTTTGTTTCTATTATAAAATTTTGGAAACAGGTAATTTTTCTCCTTCACTGATGTGCATCGATGAGGCTGCACTGATAGAAAGCACTGATGGGCACTGATAGGCAGCATTGATGGGCACTGATGAGGTGGCACGGATAGGCAGCACTGATGGGCACTGATAGGCTGCACTGATGAGGTGGCACAGGTGGGCATTGATGAGGAGGCACTGATGATGCTGCACTGATATGCAGCAATGATGGTCACTGATAGGCTGCACTGATGGGCAGCGCTGACTGACGGCACTGACCGACAACCCTGACTGAAAGCACTGACTGATGGCACTTGCTGGCGACACTGTTGGGTACTGATGGGTGGAACCGATGGGCACTGATGGGTGACATGGCTGGGCAGTGATGGGCGCAAATGCTGGGCAGCACTGATGGGTGGCACTGCTGGGCACTGGTGGGAGGCACTGCTGGGCACTGGTGGAAGGCACTGCTGGGCACTGGTGGAAGGCACTGCTGGGCACTGGTGGGAGACACTGCTGGGCACTGGTGGAAGGCACTGCTGGGCACTGGTGGGAGACACTGCTGGGCACTGATGGGAGGCACTGCTGGGCACTAATCATCAATGCCCTGATGATCAGTGCTGATCTGCTCTGTGACAGCTGCCAGTTATCAGCAGTACTTTCCTCACACTGTGACAGCATGAGGAAAGCGCTGCCAATAACCGGCAACTGTATTTACTCTGTGATCTGCTGTGTCATTGGACACAGCTGATCATGTGGTAAAAGTCCGCTGTGTTTGGCCTTTGACCTCATCATGTGATCAGCTATGTCTGTAGGACACAGCGATCACAGAGAATGCCGGGCGCATACCCCTGAGGGTGCACAGGAGGGCGTGTTCTGGCAGGATGTCATATGACGCCCTCCCAGAACTGGGTAACTGTAGCCGTCATTCGGGTACAGCGCGATTACCAAGTGGTTAATTTATTTATTTATTTATTTTTCATTTATACGTAAATGTTTAACTCCCCTGGCGGTATTCCCGAGTGTTTAGAGATGAGCGAATTATTCAAAAATTCGATTCGGCTGATTCGCCGAATTTCAGGAAGAAATTCGATTCGCTACGAAGTTAACTTATAAAAAAAAGGGTTTCTAGGCTTCAGAGAGCCTTTAAATTAGTGCAGAACACTGTACCTTTAATTTAAAAGCCCTTGGAGATGAGGAAGGAGAAGGAAAAGGATGAGAAGAAGGAGAAGGAAAAGGATGAGAAGAAGGAGAAGGAGAAGGATGAGAAGAAGGAGCAAGGAGAAGGAGAAGAGATGAAGGAGAAGGAAGGATGAGAAGAAGGAGAAGGATGAGAAGAAGGAGAAGGAGAAGGAGAAGGAGAAAGAGGAGAAGGAGAAGGAGAAGGAAGGAGAAGGAGAAGGAGAAGGATGAGAAGATGGAGAAGGAGAAGGATGAGAAGAAGGAGAAGGAGAAGGATGAGAAGAAGGAGAAGGATGAGAAGAAGGAGAAGGAGAAGGATGAGAAGAAGGAGAAGGAGAAGGATGAGAAGAAGGAAGGAGGAGAAGGATGAGAAGAAGGAGAAGGAGAAGGATGAGAAGAAGGAGAAGGATGAGAAGAAGGAGAAGGAAGGGAGAAGGATGAGAAGAAGGAGAAGGAGAAGGAGAAGGATGAGAAGATGGAGAAGGAGAAGGAGACGGATGAGAAGAAGGAGAAGGATGAGAAGAAGGAGAAGGAAGAAGGATGAGAAGAAGGAGAAGGATGAGAAGAAGGAGAAGGATGAGAAGAAGGATGAGAAGAAGGATGAGAAGAAGGAGAAGGATGAGAAGAAGGATGAGAAGAAGGAGAAGGATGAGAAGAAGAAGGATGAGAAGAAGGAGATGGTTGAGAGAAGAAGAAGAAGAATGGATGAAGAGAAGGAGAAGGCAGGATGAGAAGAAGGAGAAGGATGAGAAGAAGAAGAAGGATGAGAAGAAGAAGAAAGATGAGAAGAAGAAGAAGGATGAGAAGAAGGAGAATTCCAAGCCGGCAAAAAGTGTATCTGCAGAGCTCCGCTATTTCTTAGGCTATTTCTGACAGTTCTGTGACATTCACTCCATACAGCGGTTGAAACATTGTATCTATTTGTTTCCATAAATGGATCCATTTATGGAAACAAATAGATACAAATGTTTCAACCGCTGTATGGAGTGAATGTCACAGAACTGTCAGAAATAGCGGAGCTCTGCAGATACACTTAGCGGAGCTCTGCAGATACACTTTTTGCCGGCTTGGAATTATTCTTATTTTCATCCTACTTCTTCTTCTTCTTCTTCTTCATCCTCATCCTCATCCTCTTCTTCTTCTCCTGAGGATGAGGATGAGGATGAAGAAGAAGAAGAAGAAGTAGGATGAAAATAAGAATTAATTCCAAGCTGGCAAAAAGTGTATCTGCAGAGCTCCTCTAAGTGTATCTGCAGAATAGAGGAGCTCTGCAGATACACTTTTTGCCGGCTTGGAATTATTCTTATTTTCAAAGAAGAAGAAGTAGGATGAAAATAAGAATAATTCCAAGCCGGCAAAAAGTGTATCTGCAGAGCTCCTCTATTCTGCAGATACACTTAGAGGAGCTCTGCAGATACACTTTTTGCCGGCTTGGAATTATTCTTATTTTCATCCTACTTCTTCTTCTTCATCCTCATCCTCTTCTTCTTCTTCTGAGGATGAGGATGAGGATGAAGAAGAAGAAGAAGTAGGATGAAAATAAGAATTCCAAACCGGCAAAAAGTGTATCTGTAGAGTTCCTCTATTTCTGACAGTTCTCTGACAGCTCCTTCACATGTACAGCGGTTGAAACATCTGTTTCCGAATAAAAACATCTGTATCCTAAATGGAAACAAATAGATACAATGTTTCAACCGCTGTACATGTGTTCCTTCTGTCAGAGAACTGTCAGAAATAGCGGAGCTCTCTGCAGGGACACTTTTGCCGGCTGATCGGGAAAAATCCGATTCGCGCACCCGAAGTAGGCAAATATTCGATTCGACGCGAAAATTTTTCCTGAAATTCGTATCGAATTCCGGTTCGCCTGGTTCGATTCGCTCATCTCTACCGAGTGTAGCTCGGGGTAAAGTTTCAGTACCAAAAACGGTAACCCCGAGCTACACTCGAGCTTACCATGCGGCGTTGCTCAGGGAGTCCCTGTAGCACTTACCTTGTCCTTCGCTCCCGCGATGTGTCCCCTGCAGCATCCCCGGCCATCTCCTCCGGCCGATGCCGGCATCCGGCTTCCGTGTTCCGGTCCCTGTGACGTCGGGACGTACGGGCACCGGAACCGGCGGCAAATTTGAAAATTTTAAAAAAATGAAATTTTTTTTAAAAACAATTATTTCATAGCAAAACATTCCTCTATCAAAGCATTTCACATACATTTTGTCCCGAGTGCTTTGTCTGGCGCCCTGCCTGCATTTTTACTGTTCTTTCTGCCTGGAAACTTAGAAAAGTTCATGGCGTCCAAAAAGCGTCCCTTTAGGTCAAAAGCGGTTTTAGACCGGCTAGAGAACAGCGATAGTAAATCAGAACCACTTGCAGAATTGAGTGATAATGATTCGTGGGGGAAATTCCTCATCAGACACTGAAAACGATTCTGCGACTTTGCTCAGCGATGTGCGAACTTGGCGCTATATTTCACATTTCAATGTTTTTGGTTTGATTATATTATTGAATTAAATTTATTATTATTATATTATTATTTTTTATGAGTATTTATTAAATTATAATTTATGATTTCGTGTTTCAAGTTTTATCATATCCGGAATGTTTACTAGACTCTTGTTCGGACAGATTTCAGGGAGTTATTCCTAAAAATTACAGGCCTACAATAAAAAAAATACATATTTCCATGCAAAAAAATGTACCGCTTTTAGTACAAAATTCCTGACATAATCATACCGCCAGGGAGGTTAATATCCACTATGTATGCAGTTTTATCATACACCCCTGGAGGGTATGTACTAATCCCTTCATATCTGATTTATATCTATTAGTAGACACTGGGCACCAGTATATCTCCCATTATAAGATGAGGCTGATGTTCTAGAAGATGAGGGGTGGAATATTATTCATGTGGCACTTAGTGTCGCAATAGTACAAGGGGGCCAGTAAACAAGATGGTGAACGTGGCTTCAAGATTATGGCAGGAGCTCCTTATAAAGCATGGTCCGGAGACGTCCGATGTCTACTGCCTGTGAGGAAGTCAATTTGAGGACGAAACGCGTCAAGACGCACAAAGTATTGAAGGCACGTATGCAGGGTAAGGTGCATGCCCAAAGCGGAAGGGAAAAGCACATGAATTTGTTTGCACACTGGAAGTGGATGGTGCACGATTGCACTTCAATCCAGAGTATATGATTTATTGATGGGGAGTTCTATGCCGTGACGGTAATATTAATTAGTGTGAATAGCACCGGATACTAATCACGTGTTTTGAATTTACACGGTTTTGGCTGTGTGTAGTTGGTACACGGGTGTATCACGTATCATATTATGTTTGGAATTACTACACTTTATTAGCTTCTTTTTGTTTTTTGAAGATTGGGAGCAGTGGAGTAGATGATAAAGAAGAAAAGACAGAGAAGATTATATAATATACAACACATGCCCATTGGGAAGAACCTTATGCATTTGTATACCTCCTTAGACCCAGTCTGTCCAAAATGTAAGGCCACTTGCTGACTTGGCACCTTCCACAGGCAGCTTAACTCTTCGATAAGACAGAAGTTGAATCCAATGCAGGTTTCCTTCAAACAGTTGCACTGCAGAGGATGCCTTTTCAGTCTTTTAAGTGTAAGAAGATGTGATAGTTGATTTACTTAAGGCATATAGACTGTGCACTTTGCAAGTGCAGTTGCATTCATTTTCCTAGGAGCTTAGTAAATGTTGTAAATCTCTGCTAAATTCTATCATCCAATCATGTGCAAGAAAAATGCAATTATGATTGGATATTTTTTTTACAAAGTGAAGCTTTTCCACCTTTACATTTACTAAGGAAGATGAGTGCAACTGCACGTGCAAAGTGCACAGTCTATTTGCCTTTAGTAAATCCACCCCAATGACTTCCTCAGCCATAATGCTGGTAGGTTAATTGACTCCTATCTAAATTGGCCCTAGTATGTGTATGTATGAATGTGAGTTAGGGACCTTACATTGTACTCCCCTTGAGGGTTAGGGACTGACGTGAATGTACAATATATATATAAAGTGCTGCGTAAATTGACGGCGCTATATAAGTACCTGAAATAAAGAAGTAATAATAAATAAATAAATTAATCAATGAATAACTCTTGCAAAGTACACAGGCTTCCTGTTCTTTTTCAAATTCTGATTTATGCATTGATATACCTCTTTGAACCCAGTCTGTCCAGACAGTATGGTCACCTGCTGACTTGGCATCATCCACAGGCAGCTTAAATCTTCAATAAGATACAGATTATGAATCCAGCACAATTTTATTTCACGTAATTGCAGTACTGAAGATGTTTTTTCAGTCTTTTGAAGTGTAAGAAGACAATGGCTTTCCAAAGCCCTGTGAAGTACTAAAGCTGACTGAGTGAA